AGAGCGGGCGTCCACAGCCGCCCGGAGAGCCCTCCATGTGCTACCCGGTGCCGGCTTTGGGACACACCACTCCTGAGACCGCAGGCACAGGGGTCACGCCGGGCAGGACACCTCGTGTGACCTCCCACGGGATCCCGCGAGACCTGGGGCACTGACGGAGCTGGCGCGGGGCAGAACTGGGACCTGCCGCCCAGAGAAGTGTCCTCGACCCCGAGGGGGCAGGCCTGAACTCGCTCGGCGTCACCCCCAACTCGGCTGTTCTCGGCTGTGTGGCTGACACCTGTCAATGGAGAGCTGACCTGGGACATGGGAGAGGAGTGCACACGCTCACACGCGCTCACACGCGCTCACACACGTGCCTGCGTGAGTCCGTCCTTCTGTACACAGCCGCCTGAGCTTTGTGCCCCTGCTTCACAGACGGGAGACCGGGGCTCTCTGGCCTGGTGCCGTCCGGCTCCTCCACCCTCATCCCATCTCTGACCTCCTCTGTCTCCTGAGGCTCCAAGCCCTCCATGCGCTCCCGCCCCAAGACCCTGCCGCCTCCTCCTCGCGCCCTGCAGCCCGCCCTTGGCTCAAGCTCCATGTCGGAGAGGCTGGCGGGTCTGAGTGGGCCCCACCAGTGCCCCGCACTCCTGCTCCGCTCTGCTGGGGACACTGTCTCCAAGGCCTTCTGAAGGATCCCTTCCGCCCTACTCCACGCACGGCCAGGGCTGGCCCGGACTGCCTACGGCCATGTGTCCTGCAGCGTGGCCCAGGCAGTGGCTCCAGACTCCAGAGCGAGGGACCGAGGCTGGGGATGCGAGGGGACTTGCCAGATCTGTGGCTGGGGTTTACGAGCTGGGCCTGCCCGGCCCGCAGCAGCTCAGGTCTCCACCTCTCACGAGAGCCTCGCCTCGCAGCCTCTCTGAGCGCTCACAGACGCCGGCCGGCCCTGCCCGGGAGCCCCGTCCTGGAGCAGGGAGAGCGGGGCCCCACAGTCCCTTCCCCTTCCTCAGCTGCTCTAGAGAGGCCTTTGGGACAGGCACCTGCGATGGGACCACGGAGCCCCAGTCCCTGCCCTGCGAGGAGTACCACCGAAGCACATTGGCCGAGCGGAACTAGTCACGCTTGCAGGCCAGGAGCTGGGTGGCTCCCGGGTGTTCCTGTTCTCTCTCTCATCTGAAGAATTACTTTTTATTTTATGTATTGTTATTATTATTTTAATTTGACCAGAGAGAGAGAAAGGGAACATGAGAAAGCCAGCCACAAGGTCCGGGATCAGCCTGCGGCCGGCCATGCGGAGTCCATTGCCTTGGCCACACCACCTGCCAGCCCCAATTTCTCTTCTCTTAAAAAGGTTCTAGTTTCGTCCATGAGAGAGACGGTATCCGCTCCCCAGCTCCAGCCAGCCCTGCGTAGTGGGTGCGCGCACACCTGTGCCCTCGGGTGCTCTCTGGACAAAACCCACAGCCTCCTCACGCAGGTCCGCCTTGCAGTGTCCGGTCCCCGGCAGCTACTGCCAGTGAGCACAGGGCCAGGCCGGCTACAGGCCCACTCTGCCATGGTGACCCTGGCCAACTCTCCAACTCTGGCCCAGCTTCCCTGTTGGGGAAGGTGCAACCAGGGCTCCGGGCTTCGTGCCTGGCACACGGTGCATGCACAGCCAAGGACCCGTCTGCCTCCTTGGGACCAAAAGGCTAAGAGGGACGACGCCCGCTCCCCACGGTCACCTAGAAGTCTAGTTGGGGGCCGGCAGGGTGGGAGGAGGGAACGTGGTCACAGGGGCCACCGTGCAGGGCAGCTGGAGCCAGCCCGATGGCCTAGGAGGGCCTGAGCAGCCCCACGGCCTCAGTCCCCACCCCTTCAGTGCCTTGGCATCTGCCCACGGCCTGGCCGCGCTGTCGCGGACGAGCTTTCTCCTTTTTTGGTAAGAAAGGTTCCACTGGAAGGAACTAGACCCCACACACGGCCTTGCTGAGCTGTGGCATCTCCGCTATGGCCAGAGAGACACGTCAGCCTGGGCTGGGGAGAGCTGGCTGCCCTGCCCCCGAGCTCACAGCCTGCGGGCCCTGCCTGCCCCTCCTCTGCTGGAGGACAGGAAGTTGGGTCAGGGCAGGGAGGGCGTGGGCGACAGCAAGTAGGGGCGGGCAGAGCCACTTAGGGGTGGCTCCTGCCCTTGAGGCCGCTGCTCGGAGGGGCCCAACGCGCAGTAGGAAATAGGCTCAGAGACAAAGGGCTGGTACTGGTCACTGACAGCCACTGAGGGCACTGCCACCTGGGACACGGCGGGCCCGGCCACTGCCACGTGGGACACTGCCACGCGGGGCACCGGCGCCACGTGGGACACTGCCACGCGGGACACCGCCACGCGGGACACCGCCACCCAGGACATTGCCACACAGGACACCGCCACGCGGGACACCGCCACCCAGGACACCCCCACGCGAGACACCGCCACGCAGGACACCACCACGCAGGACACCGCCACGCAGGACATCGCCACACAGGACACCGCCTCCCAGGGGGTCCAGCCCCGCCCTCCCTGCTGGCTCAGGCTGGCAGCATCACAGCGGTTTATCCTCTGTCCTCGGGGGGCTGGCGTCTCCCAGTGACGTGCTGTGTGAGCCCCCACTTCGCAAAGGCTCCCTCTGCAGAAGAGGCTGTCCGTCCCACTGCCCGGCAGCTCCTGGCTGCCAAGGCGAGGCGTCTGGGTGTCCTGTAGAGACCTGCAGCCTCTCCCTAGGGTGCGTCTCGACGAGGCAGCCCCGGCATTGCTGGTTCCTAAGCTCCTCGGAGGGCCCCGTGGTCTAGTTCTGCAGCCGGAGTTATTCTGAATCCTAATTTGCAGAAAAGGAGCTGCAGCTATTCCCAGCTTGGGGAGGAGCATGTGGACCCAGGGCCCGGGCTCGGGCCAACCTGCCACAGGTCACTGGGACGTTGAAGCCCATCACCCACCCTGCAAGTGAGAAGGGGCCGTCCTCGCAGGTTCCTAGCGGCTCTGCCTCATCAGTGGTGACAAACGACAGCAGCCGTGGTCCCTGCTGCACCTCCGGCGGGGAGACCGCGCCCACTGACAGGTGCCTCACACAGGGACACGGGCTGTCCCTGGGAGCCATTCTCAGCCCTGCCCCTCAGACAGGAAACAGGGCACCCTGGCCAAGCTCTTGCCCTTTGCAGCTGGTAAATGGAGGAGTTGGGATTCGAGCCTGAGAACAACCCAGAACCTTCCCCTCGCCTTTGGCACCCCTGCCCCTGCCCCCCACACATCGAAGGGTCACACTGCCATGCCGACTGGGGACACCTGCACGGCACGGCCTCCTGGACCATCCCTACGAAAGTCCCAGTATTTGCGGATGGACAAACACCTGGCTCGTCACCCAGCCAGAGTGCTGTGGGTGTGGAGGGCTTCAGTCCCAGGGCGGCGGGACAGCTCCCGGGGTGGCGGCGTTGGCCCTCCGTGCTCCGTGCGTCCTCCAGGCTGACCTAGCAGCCAGGGCACTGCTGGGGAGAAAGGCCCCGAGGGCACTGTCTGCCGTCAGGCTCCGAAGGCATGGGCAGGGACATCCATCGGGCTCCACCGAGGGCGTGACAAAGCCACGACTCAGGCCGCCCCGACCACGATGAAGCCACGCCAGAATGGAAGGCCCGGCTGGCACCCGTCCTCGAGGTGCGGGCTCCTCGAGTACCAGGCCAGTGCCGACTCGGCAGGACAGGGGCCTTGGTGGCCTCCCAGCGGTGGGACTCTACCTTGGAGGGTCCTGCTCCAAGGCCAGGCCGCCTGGGTTTGCCCCGCCCAGTCCCCAGTAAGCTCACACACGTCACGGCCACCACTGCCCCTGCGGCCAGGCTCCGCCATGCGCCAAGGAGACGGAAGTGGCCACAGACAGGTGCCCGGAGGTGCAGGGAGACTGGGGGCACAGCCGCCCACCATGGCCCACATCAGTGCCACGCTCTGGCGCGCCAATCCCCTGGCCCTGAAAGCACGGTGGGGTGCTGGGGCAGCTGTCTGGGCAGAGCCGTGGTCCATCTGTCCTGGGGAGGGCGGGCGAGGGAGTACCTGCCGTCAGCCAAGCCCCGCCCACGGCCAGCCTGGGTACCCTTAGTGGGGGCCCTGCCTTCAGGCCACGGGGCCGGGGCCCATCCACTGCCCTCCAAGCTCGTTCCCTCGAGGATGGGGAGGGCGAGTTCCTGGGTGCAGGAGGTCCTTTGGCTGGGAAGACCCAGCAGTAGCCCGGGCTCTGCTCACATGCCTCTGCTCTCTGGGGACCCCCAACACTCTCCCCACACCCTCTGGGGCCAATCCCCCACCGCGGCTCCTGCATAACATCCTGCTACTTGGTGTCCACGCGCCCCGTTTATGGGGAGCCCAAGCCCAGGCAGGACCCCCTGGTGCCTCCGTGTGTGTGCTGCGGTTAACGGACCACCCCCCACCATGTCCCTGCTCCCCTCCCACCCCTGACCTGATAAAGATGGACCATGGGCGGACTAGCAGCTGGTGTAGTGGGTAAGGCACTGACTCCCACAGACCAACCGCAGTTCGAGTCCTGGACCTGGCAGCTTAAAGACCAGGCTGGGTGTGGGTGCGGGTACGTGTGTGCCCAAACTCCCAAAGGAGATTAGAGACGAGATCGCTGCATGGCCATGCCCCAGGGGGAGATCTCTCACTTCATGTATCTCTTTGTCTCTGTCTCTCTGGTGAGTGCATGGGCCCTATAATGAACATTCTCTCCAAAAGCTAAAACAGGCCATAGGTGAGAACACACCTTCCTTGACAGCACCCGGTCACGGGCAGAGGCGTGGACTGAGGAGCCCAAAGAGGAGGGCAGGGCAGGCTGGTCTCACCTGCAGGAGCTGCCCGGTGCTGGACGGGGCCCTGCTGTGGCCTATGACCCTAGGCTCTCATGTAGAGAGTTTGCTGTGACAGGACCTGGAGGAAATATACCACCTCTGCGGTGGGAGAGGCCAGGGGTGACTGCAGTCGGGGGCGTGATGGCCCCTGCAGGTCTGAGGACAGAAGGACAAGACGCACAGGGACCAGCGCCCTGCTCCCTGCTCTCACTCCAGACTCCACCGTGAGCTGAAGACACCTCCATTTTCCAAAATGACCCGGACTCAGGGACTTTCTGGTATTAGCAGTGGGAGGGACAAGGCCCCCGCCGGCCTCTGCCTGTTGGCTCTGCCACCTCCCTGCCCACACAAGGGGCCCAAGTCCCGGCCGCGGGTCTCTCGTGTGAAGTGCAGGAGGCAAGGGGGGGACAGTGGCCTGGATACCCACAGGCGCCAAGTGGTGATGGCCACACCCCAGCAGGTGGGAGCTGCGGCCGGTGCCCATGCTGGCTGCTTCTGCGGAGGGACTGGGCCTGCTGCAGAGCCCAAGGGCCAGACGGGCCATGTCTGGAGAGCTGTGTGCTTCGGCCGTCGGGGCCCAGTAAGCCCTAATGAAGACGTGGTGCTGTGGCCACCGTCTCGCCTGCGGACTTGGGAACGCCGTGAGGTGCCAGGGTACTGCACTTACCCCGGCCACCTGGGCTCCTTGGTAGTCTCCCTACTGGCCCTATGGGTGGGGGACACTTCACCTTTGCTCTTGCTGTGGGTGAGGGAACTGAGGCTCACAGCGGTTAGGCAGCCCAGGGTCACACGGGCTGAGCAGAGTCCAGTCCTGCTGCACCCCCAAGTGCACGCCACGTATTCGCTGCACGTAGGTACACCTTCCGCAGCTCCCAAACCCTGGCCTGTAGCTCCCTCCCTCTCACACAGGGCAGGAGTGTGCAGGGCGAGCGCTAGTCCTCTGACACTTCCGACGCGTCCTCTAGGCTAGAGCGACTGGCTTCCGTCTCCAGAAACGCCCACGTGCGCCTCCGCGGGGACACAAGGGCTTCAAATGGCAGCTGTCATTGGGCGAGCTACCAGGCAGCCCAGCACCCACACCGCAACGGCCCTGGGTGCAGAAGTGTCTGTGGGGTGCTGGAAGACACCGTCCCAGGGGAATCCCGAGGCCGCTCAGTTAAACGGAGCCGTCTCCAACACGTGTGTTTGGCGGGTGCTGAAACACGACCCGAGAGCCACAGTAATGACAACGGTGAGTAGGCGCTCACTCCAGAACCTTCCGTGAGAACTCCATGTACACGGCTCCACTTCCTGATTGCCAGAGAGCGACAGTGGGAGGGAACACCCAGCAGGGAGGTCGCACTGCACCCTCTCCACTCTCCACCCTTTGGGATCTGGGGCACAGGTGTACACATGCCTAGTAGTTTTCCAAGCTGCCGGGGCCAGGGCTTGAACCGTAGTCAGCCACGTGAGATCTGACTCCCTCAACCACTCGGCTACAGGGCTGCCCTCAAAGGCAGGATGTGTAGTTTCTTTCTGTCTGTCTTCCAGGAGCAGGGGGAGGGCAGGAGGGCACTCTGCTGTCGCCAGCCCCTCGGCCCAAGCAGCATGTCTGGGGGCCTGGGGTGAAGCGTCCCTCCCTGCAGGCCCCACGGTGGGTCACAGGGCGTGTCGCCTGAAGCCCTGCAGGGAGAGAGAAGTGCAGGACAAGAACTGATCTCCTGCCCCAGCGGCCAGTCAGCCAGGAGGTAGGCGTTTTCTGACCTCAGCTCACAGGTAAGGAGCTGAGCCTGGGGTGCTGCAGCCACCTGGTCAGGGTCCCGGGGGACCATGGCCACGCTACGTCCACACACCTGACACCGACAGGGAGACACACTCCTTGAAAACACGACTTAACGGCACAGAAGGAAAGACGGCCGGATGCCGGCCTGTGACGGTTGAAGAGGTGGCTTCTAATCAAACCCGCCGGGGCCTTGGCCTGCTTCTGCTTGAGCAGTCATCAGCAGAAGGGCCAGGGCGACCGAGCGGGCCCCGCGGGCCCGTCTCCAGGATGACGGCTGTCGCCAGGCACAGCATCCTGTCGCCTCCTGTGGAACCGGCTCTGACAATGGCTCACGAGACGTTTCGTTTAAGATGTTTTCCAGGAACCTGAGGTCGGCCCCTTAGCCAGCCTAAGCCAGTTCCAGTCAGCTGAGGCCACCGGCCTCCCACGGCCCACTCAAGTGACCGAACCTCGGACCAGCCCACGTGTCCCTGTGACCACGGCGCGTACGACCCGGTGTGTCTGTCTAAATTACCAAGGGGGCTCGTGTTGGCCGGAGGAGGGCACAGAGGCCTGAAGTGGGGCACGGTCACACCACAGTCCCTCCTCCTCATCTCCCTGTCCTGGCAGGGCTTCGGGCATACGTGCACATGCACACACGTGCACCACACACGTGCACGCGTGCCTGTCAGCGCTGGGTGTGAACCCGGCCGGCCATGTGGGATGCGGCTTCCGCACAGCACCTAACCACCGCACTGCGGGCAGCCCGCACCGCCACCGGCTGGCCATCTGTCGCGGCCCCTCTGCCCACACCCCAGCAGCCTTCCTCCCGGCCCCGGCCCTGAGCCGCTCTGAGCGAGCCTGCCTCCGCCCTCCCAGACTTCCGGGCCTCAGGGCACCCCTGCACTGAGGTTCTACCCAGCATGCACGGGACCAGGGAGCCCTCCAGGCAGAGAGGAGGCAACTTCCCAGTGCGCTTTGTTAGCGGGCTGACCCCAGCACCGAAACCTCAGCAGGACGCTGCGGAAGCAGAACCAGACCGCAGGGAGTGAGGCCACACTGCCACTGCCCATGCCCAGCTGGGGAGGGCTGGCCCTGGGAGTCCTCGCCTCGGGGTGTGTGGCGGCCACAGAAGTCCTAGATCCAGGCCCAGCCGACCTGCCCTGATAGCACGGTCACCAGGCCGACAGTGCGTCCACGCAGCCGCTCCCCAAAGACCTTCTCCATCTGGGCTGGGCCGGCCCACTCGGCTCCCAGTCCTGCCCCCTGGCTGCTCCAGCACAGGTGGCCCCCCCAACTGTCCACGCTCAACCACCAGACCCAGCAGGTGTGCACGCTCAGTGACCACAGGCAGGGTCAGCCAGAATGGCCTACGAGGCCTGCAGGACAAGCTTGCCCATCCAGCTGACAGCTAAGAGCACATGGAGCCGCACCGGGTGAGGCTTGGCCCAGTGCACAGAGCAATGGAGGGAGCCAGCACTGACCCCACCTTGGGGAGGGAGCCAGCACTGATCCCACCTTGGGGAGGGAGCCCGCGCTGACCCTGCCTTGGGGGAGGGAGCCCACAATGACCCCACCTTGGGGGAGGGAGCCCACACTGACCCCACCTTGGGGGAGGGAGCCCGCGCTGACCCCACCTTGGGGAGGGGGCCCCGGCTCCCC